CCAGTTGCCCCCAGTCTGGAACCCCCCTCCCCGGCTCTAACCTCTCCTGTCTCAGGGGCTTCTGCGGTGTAGCCGAGGTCGGTGGGCCCCTGCTCGCAGCCGGACCCTGCTCAGCCGAGCCCGCCAGCTGCCGGAGCGTCCGGCGGTGGTGCTGGGCGGACACGGAGCCCCCCCGCTTCAGCCCCGTGCCCAGCCCGCCAGCCGAGGAGAGCATGAGGGCCCGGGAGCAGCGGGCGGCCGCGCCGCGGCGTTAGGGCAGGCAGGGGCCGGAGGGGCTCGGAGGCGGTGTGAATCATCTCCCCCTCGCTCACTCGCCCACCATTTACACCGCTCCCTCCTCCTCCCGCCGCTCCCCCCTCCCGCCCGTTCTCCTCCGTCTCACTCGTTCTCGCTCCTCTCCTCTCGCACGCTCTCCCCTCCTCTCCTCTCCTCCTCCCGTCTCACTCTTTTCACTTCCCCCTCCTCCCCTCTCCCGCTTCTTTCCCCTCTCTCGCCCCCTCGCTCCCGTCTCCCCGCTCCTCATCTCCTCCTGACACTGCACTGCAGCTGCTCCTCCAGCCCAGTCCTGCCCGCTTCCCTCCCTCCTTCCCTCTCCTTCCCTCCCCCCGGCTGCCAGATAAACAAGGCGCGCAGCATCCTCGGCAACCCCGAGCCTAGTTCTACATTTTCGAAAAGGACAAGAGAACGGGACGAGCCCCCTCCCCTCCTCCTTCTCCTCCTCCTCCTCCCCCTTTCCCTTCCTCTTCCTTCCTCCTCCTCCTCCCCCTTCCCTCCCTGCCCCCCCAACACCGAAGGGAAGAGACAATTCTCCTCCGAGCAGCAGCAAACATGATGGCGGCAGCTCCCATCCAGCAGAACGGGACCCACACCGGGGTTCCCATAGACCTGGACCCGCCGGACTCCCGGAAAAGACCGCTGGAAGCCCCCCCCGAAGCGGGCAGCACCAAGAGGACCAACACGGGCGGTGGGTATCTCCTCCGCCGCCTCCCCCCGCCCGACCCACCCACCTCTCCCCTTCCTTCCCTACCTACCTGCCTCCCCCTCGCCCCCCCAAGCATTCCCATTTCTCTAACGTTATCATTCATCAAAATGGCGTCGCTTTTCGGCATCCACCGGGCTTTTGATTTAATGCCCACGCAGGGGCTACGCGGCCGCGACCCGGCGGCGGGGAGGCAGGCGTGCGGGGCTCCCCCCGCACCCTCCTCACGATTGGCTCTGATCAATGGCAGCCGGCTGGAAGGAGACAAACGCACTCTCTTCCCTTTGCATCCTTCGGGTCACAAGTTGCGTTTCAGCCTTGCCCTGCGTTTCCCTCTGCCTTGGCCTCGGTGCTATTGTCAGCCTGTGCACGGTGTTGTTTGGCTGGCGGGGGGCGAGGGCTGGCTGCTGCGGGGGGAGCCGGCTCTGCCGCGGGGACTCGGGAGCTATCAGCCCGCCCTGCCCGGGGGAGATGAGTTATAACGGGACCGGCGTCTCCTCCGCTCGTTTGCACCAGAATCGTCATAACAATGCACCGAGGCAGAGGTGAATTTATTTGCCCGATATTAAGACAGCAGGCTGGCTATATATAGTGCATCGTGCAGCCGGCTGGATGAATATGGATGGGCACTATTGTCACACGCAAGCACTTAAGGCGCTTGTAGGTTTGAATGGGGAAAGTGAGGTGAACTCGGATGTTGCTTTGGGGGGGGGAGGGAAAACCCAACAGTCACTTTGTAAAATAGATTCCATGGTAAAAATCTTGATGGTAAAGCCAGTGGGACATCTTAATTACTGAGGAGAGCCTAAGTCTGGGGAATCAACCAACCTTTATTGTCCTGCACTTTTTCAGAGCTGGTTACAGAAGGCTGTCAGACTGAAGTGTCGCTGACTTGGGATGAAAGCACTGATAATTAATCAGTTGCTGGATCAGATTGGATTTTTTTTTTTTTTTCCCATTCATTGCATATATATTTTTTACGGTTATGGTTGTATGCTTTAATGCTAGTAGGGGGTAGAGGACTCACACTGTCTATCTCATCACCTTTTAAGTGTATTTACAATATGTGACTTAGGCTTTTGATTAACTGGGAAAGATTCTTAATGTCCTTTAATTAATGAGCTTAAAAGAGATCATTGTTCTTTAAGAACTGCTAAAGGAATACACCAGGATTACTTAGGCAAGTGATTCCATCCACACCATGTTGAGTTGTTTTCTTGGCAGTGGCTGAGATGCTTGGAATAAAACCCCACATTTTGGGTGGGTTATTTGGTAGCAAGTAGTCGTTTTTCTCACTTAAGAAGAATGCATGCAATAGCTAATTGCTATTCTCATGCGTTTGCTAATGACAAACAAATAGCCCATCAGAATTTGCAATTCATACCTCCTTAGTTTTTGCATTTCTTTTGCAGTATTTTCAAGCAAGGTTGTAGTTGTGACAAGGCACGTTTTTGTGCAGAGCTTCATTTTTTTAAAGGGGTCTAGTCGTTTCTGTATGCTATGGTTACCAGCAGAAAAGCTGGAAAAAATCCACCTTTGAAATAAAGTTAAAATTTTATTCTTATTATTTTACAGAATTAAGGAATGTATATGGACTCTTTATTTTGCTTGAAACAAAAGTGCGTATTTTGAAATGTCAGAGACATAATCCAAACATGTCTTGCGAATGACGCAACTGGTTAGATATAAATGCATGCATTACTGGATGAGGCTAAAGATATAACATTTGTGGGTCTAGGGGGGAGAGATCAAAGTTTATAAGTCATATTAACCATGCATATCTCAATTTTTCAGAGGATGGCCAATATTTTCTAAAGGTCCTCATACCTAGTTATGCTGCTGGATCTATAATTGGGAAGGGAGGACAGACAATTGTTCAGTTGCAGAAAGAGACTGGGGCCACCATCAAGCTGTCTAAATCCAAAGATTTTTATCCAGGTAGGTGCGAAAACTAGCTGATTATTTATGTTTAAATCCCATGGGTTGTATAAACGTGTCAGTATGTTTCATGTGTTGGCACATAAGCATCTAGTGCAATGTGAAACATTTATTTGAAAAGCATGTTACAAAGTGCAACAGTGAATATGATGTTCCGTCTTACTTGATGTATAGAATGAAGTGGGTAGATTATCATCTAGTAATCTAACTGCTTTATATATGTCTAAAAATGTTTTCAGTGTTGCTGAAAAAATATTTTGTTTGCTTTTTTGCTAGCTAAAAAAAAATCTATCTTTAAAGAAACAACTTGTCAGCTGGCGGAAAAATAATTGTTCGTTTGAAGTTTTCAGACATTGCAATCACAATTAAGCTAGAATGAGTAAAATTGAGAGGCCTCCTCTTAAAGAATGGGCCATTTACTTTAAATCCATTATGTACCTTCTTTATGCCTCATTTCTTTGTTCACTGGCTCTGGAGTGAAGTAAAGAGGACAGGCGCTGCTCTTTAGATATTCTTTATATTATGTTTACCATGGTGGTGGGAGAAAACTCTACTATAAAAGGGAAACACTGAACAGTTAAAGAGCAAGTATTTCTCATAAATTATATTTGCACACAACAAACAAGCTTTCAATATTAGTGTATGATAAGAAATAAATGATTTAATATTTCTTCTTTAAAAGCTCTGAAGAGGAGGTCTTGTAAAACAGTATAAAACATTTTAGTTTCTGCAATTGGATATTTTTTTTTCCTTAAGATCAACAAATTAGCATTCTGTATTTGAATGTGATCTGGGGGAGTTGTTACAAATTGATGCAGATAACGTAAGTGATACTGGTTTTGGTGTTTTGATTCTGTTTTGATGATAATCTGGTGATTTAGAATTGACTAGGTGTTACCCTCTTTTCTGCGGAAAAATAAGAGCTTCTTTTCATTTGGTCTAGTTTAACAAGATGAAATCTCTAAAACTATGAAGGCAATTGGTATGGGTGTAAATAGGACACTAACATTAGCATTTATTTTCCCTGTCTTCTAAGTTGTGTATGAAGGAGAAGTGGATAATTTCTTATTAATGGAGATACTGTGGTCTTTTTACGATGATGAGTTTTGTTGTGGACATTTTAATGCACCTGTTGTATATCTACTTGGTGAATGAGATTTGTAATTCCTACAAGTCCAAGGTTAAAGTAATACATGTAGGTTTTTTTTCCGGAACATACAATTTATAAACTGATGCTGTTGGTGTTTTTTTTTTTTCCTTTTTAAAATTTTTCATTCCCCTTTTGGAAAGTTAAAATAGTAATAATAATAATTATTTTGAAAGGTATGGTAGAGTGGGGGGGGAGGGGGAAAATCAATGTAGAATTGTGGAAATTCTAGGAAGAAATAAAAACATTCAAAAGAGCTTGATTGCAGAATTAATAACATAATCTGCGTAAAGAGCTGCAATAGTAAATTAATTTCGCTGTCAATAGATGAAAATGAAATAGATTTTCTGCATTATACATGAGGTAGTATGAGATATGCAAGGATGTTACAGAAAATTGGTGTTTATGAAGTATATTTAAAATACCAAATTACAAGCCTTTTCATTTTACTACAGTTTATTTACACTCAGTTGGAAAGGACGCTCCAAAGATTAGATCTTTTGTTTAGTACTCCAGCAGAGTTCTTCTGTTTTTTGATTAAGTCAGAATTACATATTATCTTATGTTGCAAATTGTAAAGATATATCAGGAGTAGGAGATAAACCTTTGAAAAATAGAAAGTAGCTAGTTAGACACCAGTAAAAACGTTTGCGACAAACACATTCTCTCTTTAAAATCAGTAGTAGTAATAATATAGACAACTAGGAAAGAGAGGCTCAAACTGTTTAACTGTAACAGGTGCAAATGAAGTTCCAGTTTGCCTTCATACTTTCTGCTTTGGATTTGCAGCCATATTATGTAGAAAGTGAGTGTTTTAAGGAAGTTGGTGAAGTTGGTGGAATGAATCTGAGAAATGGACTCCAATGGGACTAACTCTTGTTGGTCTTTCTGTTTGCACTTGACCACAAGGCTGTGGAATTTTCAGAGGTCTTGACATTCTGTAAACTGATATCTTTTGGGTTTCTTCCAGACCCTCAGACTCATATAGCATTAGGGAAAGGGAACCTTGTGAAATAGTTAATATACAGAAAATAAATTGTATCTTTATAATGTTTCTAAGCGATTATTCTGGTTACTTAGCCTGTAATACTATGTGTGTGATTCAGAATGCTTTCAATGTGCATTTGAGTATGAAATGTTTACTCGATGAGGTTTCTGTGAAACTTCTCATTTTTCAAAAAAAGTTTTAGCACAGTCTAAGTTGTTGTTTGGAAAGGAGGAAGTTGGTTGCAATACGGAAGTCATGAATAGTTTCTATGATCTAATAGTGTTCTTTCTTTTTTCTGTGATGTAGGACTTCAGTATGCAGACTGATTTCTGTTGGAATTATTTTTGTGTATCAAAAAAATGATGTAATTACTGAAGAATCATATGACAGCTCTAATTGCAAGACATTGAAGGAAAAAAAAATCCCAGCTTTTAACTGAACATCCTGGTTCGCAAAATAGGAAGCAGTACATAAATCCATTTTGACCAGAGTCTTATTTTTTTGAGTGCAAAATTTATTCTTCTCTTTTCAGGTTACCAGCTGACTTTCCAATTGTCTGAACTTCTGTAGTTTAAGTTTGTGCTTATCCCTGATTCTTTCAGTCTTGTCCCATTGGATTAGTAGAAACAAAATTAGACTGGCAAATAATAGGCCCTACTTCTAAAGTTATGCTGATAACTTTTGCAGAGAAGTATAGTGTATGTATTGACTGCTAAGTTTTGGTCCAAAATTTAAATACTGACATAGCCATTCTGCATGAATACTGATAAAATGAACTTCATAGAGAAAGTGGCCCTTTTGCTGACCTGTTTTGATTTATGGTTGTATTTTGAACAATATAAAGCAGCGTCAGTATTTTTGTTGCATTAAGAACTCATTTTTTTCTGTTTCTCCATTCTAAATTGTAGCAAGTGCTGGACTGAGAACTCCTGTGGACATATGTATTTTTTCCATTGCGAATGCTGACGCGAGCTTGCATTCTCTCTTGCTTTCTCCCAGCACTCGCCCCCGCCCCCTTCAAGTCTCTCACTCACACACGCACAAAATTATGTTACATTGCATCACGTTGTTTATCTTGCAACAGGATCTTGCCTGATCTGAACTTGATGCTTGAGTGAGTTTGAGCTCGGTCACTGTTTTTTAATTTATTGGAATATGAAGTCATATGTGTACTTAAATCAGATCATATTAAGAGCAGAGCTTAATAAAAACATAATTAAATGGAGATAAGGTTTTACTGCCTTTAACAATAGAGGAGCTATGTTGTTTTTAAAACAGATTTCTGATCAGTAGCGTTCTAAATATTTGGAGAATATGAAAGGAGGAGTTTCCTTCCTCTTCCTCATGCAGAATATATGAAGTATGCTTCTGTGATGTTTTCACAAAGTGAATTGTTAGGGATGTTTTGTGTTTGAATGTCTTTTTTTAAACATCCATGAATTATGTGAGATCATCTTGCTGTACTTAGTTCATGTTTCCTTTTGAAAATTATGTCATTGTGACTCCTAAAAAACATTTCAAATGCACTGAATGGACAAATAACTATAGAAATTTATTAATTATAAGTTCACTTCTGAGTTTCGTTAAACTGTTAGGGTGGGGGAAAGTGTAATATATCAAGCTTGGTTCACTATTGTTTCCTTTATTATTGTTTCCATTAAGGAATTGCAATGTTAATTTCTAATTTTAAAAGATAGCTAAAATAGCAAAAGGAGCGTTTTAAAAATTAACTCATGAATTAATATTAGTGAAATACTATTTTTCAGCAGTAGATGAGTATTAAAAATAAAAGGGAAATAAAAGCAGTTAAAAGTTACATTGGAGTTAGTTTAGCTGTCTGTGGTCATGATTCTTGAAGGAGGCTGTCATAGATGAATAAATACATTCCATTTTTATTCTTGATATTTTTTTGAAATGTTGACATTCTCTAAATAGAGACTTCATAAGTATAACTCCTTAAGGTTTTCAGATTCTGTTGTAAACATTTACTGATAAGAGCAACTACTGAGATAATGGAAATGGGGAGGTGACTAAAAAGTAGAGGTTTCGGACGTGGATTCTTCAGAGCTGTGTAGTTTTGTAAAGAAGCTGTCATTACTGATCCTTTCTACTAAGGGAAAATAGAAAGCACAACCATAAAAACAAAAAAAACCAACAACAACAAAAAAACCCCACTCTAGTGTTGATTGCCAGCTGTTCAGAGAGATAATTCTCAGTTGGACAGTTGTCAGTTGCCTAGTTACTGGAAGAGAATTAAAAAAAAGTTAGCGTGTTAGACTGCAGATCTTTAGTATGTTTTACATTTAAAAAGAAGCTGAAACTGAATGTGTAACTGCATATAATCTTGAGGTTATTCCATATCTAATTTGGTCAGTGTAAATTTAGCATTTTCTCATGTGGCAGATTTAGAAAAATTTTGAGTAGAAGTCTTATGCTGATTTCTTCTGTGTATAGGGGCTTCTTTATGTTAAAAAGTGAATAAACTTGTGCATGGTAAATGACTTTGTGGTTTGCAAGGAAGTGCTGTGCCTTTCTCTTACATAAGAAGTGTACAAAACAACTTGATAGATTCAAAATAATCTATCTTTTCTTAAAGTTACTGGTACACTTGTTTTTGCATCATAAAGAATGAAATAAGGATGACTGGGTCAACACAAGGGAATGCTGTATTTAGTGATGTTTGGCTTTTCTCTTGTGATTGTTTTTCTCACTTTTCTCAATTTTGTTGGAAACTACATGGTTTGTAATAGATACAAAAGCTGATGTGTCGTCTTGCTCTTTTTTCTTGTTGGTTTTATCCTGTAGCAGTCAGTATCTTTCTCAAATACTGTGATATTGTATGTTTATTAATTGACTGTCCTCTGT